AGCCCCGGTACTGGCCCACCCCAATCCATCACTACCGTTCGTAGTGGAGGTGGATGCGTCCGAGGTAGGGATAGGTGCTGTCCTATCTCAACGCTCAGGCATGACACCCAAGCTCCGCCCCTGTGCCTTCTTCTCTAAGAAGCTCAGCCCGGTGGAGCAGAACTACGACATTGGTGATCGGGAGCTGTTGGCTGTTGTCCGAGCCCTGACCGTGTGGAGGCATTGGCTTGAAGGGGCGAAACACCCTTTCCTCGTCTGGACGGACCACCGTAACCTGGGGTACATCTGGGCAGCGAGGAGGCTGAATCCTCGCCAGGCCAGGTGGGCCCTATTCTTCACCCAGTTTGATTTCACACTATCATACATCCCGGGTACGAAAAACGTGAAGGCAGACGCATTGTCACGGCTGTATGAAACAGAGGAGAGGCCCAGAGACAACACCCACATACTCCCGGCCTACTGCATTGTGGCGCCGGTAGTATGGGCGATGGACGCGGATATAGAGCAGGCGTTACGCACAGAGCCATCTCCACCTCAGTGTCCTGCTGGGCTGCAGTACATGCCTGCTCTTATCCGTAACCGTCTGATCTACTGGGCACACACGTCACCCTCCTCTGGTCACCCAGGTATTGGTCGTACAGTGCGCTGCCTGACCGGAAAGGACTGGTGGCCTACCTTGGCTAAGGACGTGAGGGTGTATGTCTCCTCCTGCTCGGTGTGCGCCCAGAGTAAGGCACCTAGGCACCTCCCAGCGGGTAAGTTACAACCTTTACCAGTTCCACAACGACCATGGTCTCACCTGAGTGTTGATTCCTTACCGATTTTCCCCTCTGCCAAGGTAACACCACCATCCTGTTTCGTTGTGGACCGCTTTTCCAAGGCCTGCCGCCTCCTTCCTTTGCCCGGTCTCCCCATGGCCATGCAAACTGCGGAGGCCCTGTTTACACACGTCTTCCGGCACTACGGGGTACCAGATGATATGGTGTCTGACTGGGGTCCGCAGTTCACATCCAAGGTCTGGAAGGCGTTCATGGAACGCCTGGGGGTCTCGGTCAGCCTGACCTCTGGTTTTCACCCAGAGTCTAATGGGCAGGTGGAACGGGTAAATCAGGATGTGGGTAGGTTCCCCGGTCCTACTGCCAGGACCGGCCGGGGGAGTGTCGGTGTTCTTGCCATGGGCCGAATATGCCCAGAACTCTGTCACTCCTCCACTAACCTAACGCCATTCCAATGTGTTTTAGGTTACCAACTGGTTCTGGCACTGTGGCACCAGAGCCAGACCGAGCCTCCTGCGGTGGATGACTCCAACGCGCTGTGCGTCGTCAGAAGCCCAACAATGACCGCCACCGCAGTGAGTCCCCGGTCTTCGTACCGGGTGATCGGGTCTGGCTCTCGACCCAGAATCTGCCCCTCCACCTGCCCTGCCGGAAGCTGAGCCCGCGGTTTGTGGGGCCGTTCAAAGTCCTGAGGAGAATCAACGAGGTTAACTATAGGTTATTACTCCCCCATGATTACCGTATTAACCCCTTGTTTCATGTGTCTCTCCTCAGGCCGGTGGTGGCTGGTCCACTCCAGGAGTCTGAGGTGCAGGAGGTCCCTCCGCCTCCTCTGGACATCGAGGGGGCCCCAGCGTACTCCGTCTGTTCCATCCTGGATTCGAGGCGTCGGGTGGGGGGCCTTGAGTACCTCGTGGAGTGGGAGGGGTACAGTCCGGAGGAACGGTGCTAGGTCCCGGTGAGGGATATCCTCAATCCCTCCCTGTTGCAGGATTTCCACCGTCGCCATCTGGCTTGCCCTGGTCCGCGTCATCCTGGCCGTCCCTGAGGCCGGGGTCGGCGCGCTGCTGGAGCTGCGCATCAAGGGGGGGGGGGGGGGGGGTACTGTCACGACTTCCTCTGAAGCTGCCTCCCCTCCTTGTTCGGGCAGGCTTCGGCGTTCGTCGTCACCGGCCTTTTAGCCACTGCCGCTCCATATCTGTAGCTCAATTGGTAGAGCATGGTGCTTGTAACGCCAGGTTAGTGGGTTCGATCCCCGGGACCACCCATACGTAAAAATGTATGCACACATGACTGTAAGTCGCTTTGGATAAAAGCGTCTGCTAAATGGCATATTATATTATATTATATTATATTATATCTCATCATTCCATTTGTCTTGTCTTGTCAATTACACACACCTGGTTCATATTCCCCTCATTAGTACGTGTTTAAGTGTTTCCCTCTGCCCCCTTGTCCTTGTGGGTGATTGTTCATTGTGAGGATTAATAGCTCGGTTGAGCTCAGTATTTTGTATTGCCGGGGTATTTTCCCCATGTGCATGTTTGTTCCAGTGTGCCTGTTTTGCGCACTGGACTGGTTACACTGGATTATGGAATAAACTCTGTATACTGTGAATTACCCTCCTGCGCCTGACTCCTTCAAATCACGCATCACAAGAACATAGTTATAAATAATTTGGACACTGCAAATTGAAAAAAATAAATTCCCAAACAGATATAGTATTGACAAAAACAGAATCATTTCAAACCTTGATTACATCGGGATACAATCACATATGCCTTTCCATGTATGGGTGGGAATACTTGGCAACATATTTCCTCAATTAAAATCACTTTGAGCTCATTTCCTGGTGATTTTACAGTCTTATATGTTGAAGAACGAAAATTTGATAAAACATTTTTTATAAATGTTTTCCTCAGAAAACTTTTTTTTTGGGGGGGGCTAATAAAATCCCCCTCTATTGGGGAACCCTGCTGTAGAGCCTCAGGCACTCTCACAATAAAACTGTTTAATGGCTATGTTTCTAAATGCCCTTTGTTGACCACATAGATAGCAGAGAAGTTATATTGCTGTCACGCCCTGGCTCTGGGGACTCTTTAATGTTGAGCCAGGGTGTTAGTTTCTATGTTATAGTTTCTATGTGTTTATTCTAGATCGTTTAGTTCTATGTTGGCCGGGGTGGTTCCCGATCAGAGGCAGCTGTTGCTCGTTGTCTCTGATTGGGAACCATACTTAGGCAGCCTGTTTGGCACAGTTAATTGTGGGATCTTGTTCCGGAAGGTTTGTGTATTTAACCTAGGACTTCACGTATCGTTTATTGTTTTGGTTCGTTGTGTGTACACTAATAAAAGTATGTACGCCTATCACGCTGCGCCTTGGTCCGCTTCATCATGTGTCAACGATCGTGACAGAAGATCCCACCTCGACTGGATCAAGCAGCGTGACGAGGAGAGAGGATGGACTTGGGAGGAGATGAGTGCGAGTCTGGCAAGAGGGATGGAGGCCTTGAGCACGGGGGAAAGACAAGCCCAATACATTTTTAGGGGGGGGCTCACACCGTGGACGGCGAGGCAGCGGGAGGCCGCGATAGAGCGGTTCGGCAGGTTAGCAGAGGAGGCCGCCAGGTTACGGGGGCCACTGGTCACGAGGGAGAAGGGTAGTGTAGAGGCACGGCGAGAGGTACTGGGGTGTGTTACCAGTCCGGTCCGGCCCGTTCCTGATTCCCGCACAAGGCCAGTGGTGTGTGTTCCCAGTACGGTCAGGCCCGTTCCTGCTCCCCGCACTAAGCCAGTGGTGCGCGTCGCCAGCCCGGTCCGGCCTGTTCCTGCTCCCCGCACCAAGCCAGCGGTGCGCGTCGCCAGCCCGGCCCGGCCCGTTCCTGCTCCCCGCACCAAGCAAGGGGTGCGCGTCGTCAGCCCGGTCCGGCCCGTTCCCGCTCCCCGCACCAAGCCAGTGGTGCGCGTCGTCAGTCCGGCACAGCCCGTGCCTGTTCCACCGGTGCCTGGTCAGGTACCGGTCAGCTGCTCCACACCGGAGCCTAAGCAAATCCGCTCCACCGATGTCAAGTCCAGCTCCAGCCAGCGGGACCAGACCAGGGGCGCTACGGGGGGGTAGCTAGAGAGTGGTGGTCAAGCCCGGAGCCGGATCCGCCTCCGAGGCGGAATGCCCACCCGGCCCCTCCCCTGTTGGGTTTAGTTGGCGCGGTCGCAGTTTGGGGGGGGTACTGTCACGCCCTGGCTCTGGGGACTCTTTAATGTTGAGCCAGGGTGTTAGTTTCTATGTTATAGTTTCTATGTGTTTATTCTAGATCGTTTAGTTCTATGTTGGCCAGGGTGGTTCCCGATCAGAGGCAGCTGTTGCTCGTTGTCTCTGATTGGGAACCATACTTAGGCAGCCTGTTTGGCACAGTTAATTGTGGGATCTTGTTCCAGAAGGTTTGTGTATTTAACCTAGGACTTCACGTATCGTTTATTGTTTTGGTTCGTTGTGTGTACACTAATAAAAGTATGTACGCCTATCACGCTGCGCCTTGGTCCGCTTCATCATGTGTCAACGATCGTGACAATTGCATTAGAAACCTTTCTCCTTGACATAGCTTTCCCTGTCCTGATCTGTAGTGTTGTTGTCGTGAGAGGAAGCACTAACAGGTATGCTAACTGGTCAACAACATCTGTAAATACCTACAGCAAGGGCACTCTGTCAGGCATTAAGATCACCTAATGGTTCCCTATGTACAGCCCATCAGAGCTCTCATAATACCGTTCCAGCCTCCAGTTCAAAGCAAGGCCAGTGATCTGGATCACAGAAAATGGTGCAATTTCATGGGCCCATACCCCAGGATGGCATTATAATTGGGTAAATAAGCCTGTGTGCACTTGGATTGGTAACATGAAGGTCATGCAGGCCGCCTGTTGCAGGTAGATAAATGACAGAGGGGAATATACCTTTAATTAATTACAACTACTTAACAGTCTGGCTCAGAGGTGGCTCATAGCTACAACAAGATGGCTACATGTCATCCTGTTTAATACCTACTGTAATAGATATGTAACTAAAGGCATATCAATGTTTGCTGATGCAGACGTGGTTATTTCAAGGTCAGTGGACGTGCTGCTGTTCTCTGCTGCTGCTCTCTGATACTCTCTGCTGCTGTTCTCTTCTACTCTTTGCTGCTGTTCTCTTCTACTCTTTGCTGCTGTTCTCTGCTACTGTTTTCTGCTACTGTTCTCTGCTACTGTTCTCTGCTACTCTCTGCTGTTGTTCTCTGCTGCTGCTCTCTGCTGTTGTTCTCTGCTGCTGCTCTCTGCTGTTGTTCTCTGCTGCTGCTCTCTGCTGTTGTTCTCTGCTGCGGCTCTCTGCTGCGGCTCTCTGCTGTTGTTCTCTTCTACTCTTTGCTACTGTTCTCTGCTGCTGCTGTGTCCACTGCTGGCACTCTTTGATCACCTCTCTTTTAATCTCATTTCACTTTCATTCACTAAGTACAAAGACTTAATTTTCTTCTCAGCCAAAGCATTCCTCTCCTGGGCATGAGAGTCTACCAAAAAAACAAATTCACTTTTGATTCCATTATCTTCATAAAGCCTATTGAACAACACAGCAATCATAGCTGGTGTCTGTACTCAGCGTTTCGACAGCAACAAACACTGATGTGTGCTTCTGACAGTCAGATAATTAGTGTCTGTTGATCTGAAATACTGCACTAAGAAAACAAGTACTTTGAGTCCACTCCATATACTGTATATACCCTGCAGGAGTACAGTGGCTGGAGCCAGTTTTGAGAAGGGGTAGTGCATACAATACCTTTGAGGTCCAGGTTACGGGCTCCGTTGGAGTGCTGGGTGACGGTGCGGGAGTCGATCTTGAGGATGTGTACGTTGTTGTCGTCCCGGGAGACCACCACGTCGTGCCACTGGTTGTCGTTGAGAGGCTTCTCAGAGTTGCCCTTCATGAGTGACGGTCCGCTACCCAGGTCAAACACGTAATGGATGTACCTACAACACAACATTACATCACACACAAGTAATTTTACAGAATGACAAATATATACTGTATCTAGGTAAATGTTTAAATGTAAAGGAAATCTACAATGGATAGGGACGATATTGCAACATCCTGTCCTTTTGAAATGCAGATTGAATGCACATTGATAATATGAATAGAAACATCATCAGAGACAGTGTAGTACTCGCAGCACTGAGAGATATGACAGTTCTCTCTTCAGCCCACGGATCCAGTATTGCTGTGTGCTGTTGCTTAAAGGCGCCACAGCTTAGAAGAACTCCTGCTGACTAATTGCTTACTGAGTGACAGTATTTCTGGGCAGTATTTCTGGGCATTATTGTTCGCTCTTTCACACCTACTCCCTCTATCCGTCTCTTTTCACTAAAACATTCTGAATACTTTCCCTTTACATGGCGCCAGGTGACAGAAACAAAGTATTCCCTATAACAGACAATCACTTGTTGAGGGAGAGAAAAGAGGAACAGTGGTTGGCAGCTGTTATTCATCCATCCCATACACTCTCTGCATGGTTACAGCACCTAAGAAAATATGTTGCAAAATAGGTTGAACACATAATGTCAACAAAAAAAACAAATCCAAACCATTGTCATCGCCCATTGGAATATTAGGTGGAGCTTCACCCCTTCCTGACCCCCCAAGCACACCACTCACCCTTTGACCAGCTCCACCATGATGAAGTCACTGCCGTCTCCAGAGTTGAAGAGCAGCAGGCCGTCAGGTGAGGTGGTCTTGAACTGGAAGAAGAGGTGCATGGAGGCATAGGCCTGCAGGGTGGAGAAGGCCAGGTAGCTGGCCCGGCTGTGGAAGGTCACAGGGTCAGCCACGATGCGACGCATGCCGAAGCGGGCATTGAGTTCGCAGTAGGAGATGTCACCATTCTTACACTGGTCCAGGTAGGGCACGCCATTGAAGGAGAGGGCCTGCAGGTGCCCTCTGAAGTTGGATGGCACCACAGAGATGAAGCGTCTCTCTGTCATGATGCCAGTCTCAATGTTGTGGAACTCCAAGCGAGTGTGGGCACCGGCCATATGGCCTGGAGTAGAATAAATACATGTTGATAGGCAGATATAAAAATACATAATATATGCCATTTAGCAGACACTTTTATCTAAAGCGACTTACAGTTAAGCGCCATGCTCTACCAACTGAGCTACAGAAGATCACAAACTAAACATGAAATGTTATTTAGTATCTAGTGTATTATCAGGAAGATCACAGTTTCCCTTCATCTCATGGTTTGACTCTGCTCTCCCCTCCTACCTTCCACAGTCACGTTGTCCACAGAGAGCTGCAGGTTGTTCCCGAGACGTACCACCTTCACTGAGTGCCACTCATTGTCGTTCAGCTTCTGTCCTGCTAACAGTATCTCTGGGCCTTTACCTGTGGAGAGGAAAGAATGAAGTCACCAGCAGAGCACATTCATACAGCATATCATTTTCCAAGGGATCCCTCTTTAAATGGATAAAAGCTACTCCCTGCTTAGAACTCATGAACACACATACTGTATCACTCATAAGCTCACAAACACCTGCAACCTGGAAATGCCATTCAGAGAGGGCAGTACTGTATGTAAAAAAAATATATATTTAAAAAATATGACATACACACCACCTCTGTCCTACGCTTACTTGCACAATCCTTACTGATGTTGTCAAAGAGAAACGTCTGTAACCTGTGAAATCTCAAACAAGAAATCCAGTACAGAATGTAAGAGCTCTGTCAGTGGTTGTATAAACAAACTATTGGTTCGAGTTGAGAGTGCTTAGTACACAAATGTACTGTACTCATCACAAGTGCCAAATGTTTAATTAATATGTACTGGTATTTTGTACTGGTATATGTACTGGTATATGACTCAAATCACTTCTCCTCTATGTGAAATGGTATATCAACTCTTTAGACAACCAGCTAACAATATGTGTAGTATCCAGAGGCTTGGCCGGCGGATAGAGTTTTATAGCTCCAGGATTTCTGCTAAATCCTCCGCTTTTTTCCCCAGCTCTCAAGGTTTGGTTTGAAAATAGGTCACAATGCGGAAGCTTTGCCACTGCAGCACTGTCAACCCCGATCATTGGCTATGCAACAGGCCGACACATCATTTCAAAGGAGTTCTGACATGGCTGGGAAAGCTAATTGGCCATGCCTAAGCCGGCCGGCCCTCCAGGGGTTTGAGCTCAGGGTGTATAACAATAACAGGGGACATGGAGAGGACACTGGGATGCTGCTACTTGGAACCTGCTTCTGGGACTCTGCAGCTGATGACATCAATTGGTTTCCAAGTACTTCACTATTTCCTCCTCTGGGAGAGAGAGGCCACTGGCTTCTGGAGCTTTACAGCAGAGCAAGTGTCTTGGCAGAGGCAACGTTATAGTCCAACTACACAGTTATCTGATACAGTAGCTATGGATCCTGTGCAAACACATAATACCGTGTTGTAACTCTAGGGGTCACAGGAACACATTTCCATAGTGTGACTGTCATGAGGCAGGGTGATCTCTCTCTCCATGTTCACCCCCACAGACCCTTTTTGACCAACAGGCCAACCTTCATATATCATGAGTCATAAACCTTTCAGGAACTGGTTTATGTCTTCCTGCTAAGAATTATGTACAAACAAAAGGAAACAGTCACACCAGCTCGAAGGAAAAGGTTGAACTCTGACCTGTCAGGAGACACGACCGAGGTCATGTGGTGTGTCTAACAAAGGTTTCCTTTGTTCAACATCCCATGATGTTGGGCAGGAAAACACCCAATTCCCTCTCAGAAGAACATTCATAACACATAAACAAACGATAAAGTATTGACTTTTATCACTACTCTTAAATACATTTGAAATGACGACTTGGATCAACTTGGAGGAGAAGAGACTTGTCTTGCAGGAGGGAGAGAGGAGAGTAGGTATGACAAAGAGTTGTCAGTCTTGGACTGAAACAGAACTTCAGGAAACGGCCTCTGAACTCAGAGAGGCACGTCTTCCTCACTGAGAAACTGAGATGGAACGCTAACAAGGACTGAAGAAAAATGGACAGACCTTGTGAAAAACAAATGGCCCACGAGAGTGGGGTGTTGGACATCTTCATACCATGTGCTGCAACACAAAGTTGACTGCTCCAATAGGTACCGACGCGGGTGGAGGAGTGAGAAAGAGAAGGAGAGAGAGAGGACCTGACCAGTGACTCAGTAAATATGACAACATTCTCTGTGTTTCATCCTTGACTATTCGGTATTGCTATATGAGAATCTTAATAGATCAATCATAATCTTTGTGTATATTTTAATTGAGTGTTTTTTAGCATAATAATAAATCATATCTTTATAAAGAAATTTAGTTTTCTCTTGCTTTGACAAATGCTGGCTCTAGTACAATTAAATACTTTACGTTTCCTTTAAGATTGTTGATATGAAACTTGATGAACGGAGGCTAAACTACTAATCAGAGTTTCAACTAAATTGTTCTTTTTGAATAAAAACAATTACTGGTGCCCTTGTACAATGTTATTAATTTAGAATAGTAGGCTAATGAATGAATTAAGTCACCAATTATCACCAATAATTAGACCACTAAAGTCCCTACAACCGGTACATACTCATCTTATAACATAAAATTCAGCTTTAAGCACTATTGACATGTTTGATTACAGTATCCAACAATGACAACTAATCTTAGAAACGGTGAGGCATGGGGCAGAGCAGTGCTTTTCCAATGTGAAACCTTGTTACAATTTTAAAACAACAATATACTGTGTCTGTTTTCAGACCATTATATCAGCATGTCTACTATCCCCAAATAACCTTCAGATCTTAGTATGGCTCCCCAGTCGTGTTCCTCTTTATTGACTGTGGGTTTATGTCCTACCAAACCCATGTTCACTCACCAAATCAACATAACAGTCTACTCTACTGAGCAGTTGGAGGGGGGTACAGATAAATATTTGCAGAGCGGAGGAGATGGGACTATTCAACTGAAGTGAACTGTGTTAAAGCAGTGTTGGCCTGGTCTCCGAGGTGGGCTCCCCTGCCGTCTAATAACTGAGCCTCAGCTCAGACACCTACTCTGTGGTTCAGCAGAGAGCAGCTCTGCCAGGAACAAGCACATACACATTTTAGAGGAGTTCGCAAGCAAGTGATGTAAGGGCTGTTAAGTGGTGGGCTGAAAAGTAAGAATTCTGGTGTGTCAGAAAGCATAGAATCAATAGATATCCACAGTGAGGTGAAGTCCTTTTTATGTCTACACATCCTAACTCGAGATTGCGACCTATCCCCTCCGTTCCCATGTATTTCTCGTTGTTGTTTAACTAAGACCAATACCTTAAATTTACAGCAGACATCTGTTCAATTACTATTTCAAATCTCTAAATTACTTTCACATACATTTCAAAGTAAGTATTAAGATATGTTTTATTTGAAAAGACAAGTTGTTGAATATTGGAATGTACTGTATTTGGAAATACACTAGAGATCCTGGTTCGAATCCAGGCTCTGTCATAGCCGGCCGCGACTGGGAGACCCATGGGGCGGCGCACAATTGGCCCAGCGTCGTCCAGGGTAGGGGAGGGAATGGTCGGCAGGGATGTAGCTCAGTTGGTAGAGCATGGCGTTTGCAACGCCAGAGTTGTGGGTTCATTTTCCCACGGGGGGCCAGTATGAAAAAAAAATAATAATAAATGTATGCACTCACTAACTGTAAGTCGCTCTGGATAAGAGCGTCTGCTCAATGACTAAAATGTAAATGTAATGAAAGTATTGGCATGTATTTGAAAATACAAAAATACACTGACTCAAATACACTCCCATGCATTTAACCAAGGTATTTGAAAATAGTATTTGGAAATACTTTTAAATACTTCCATTGATTCAGGTCACATTATTTGAAAATACTAAAATACACAGAAAATAAGTATTTAAATAACACATAATAAAATACTCATGTATTTGAAGCCAGGTCTGATTCACAGCACAGTTTAATGTTAAGTTACATGATTTTAGTTAATTCGCTATTATAGATATTGTTTTTAATCAAGCAAACATTGTTTCTGTCATTATTTCATGTAACTTATCTGTTTGATTGTCTGAGTGGATGTGGTGTTTAGGAGCTCACGTTCGCAAACACTTATCGGGTAGAAATGTAATTGCATTCCATTCCATTTCCCTACCGTTATTTTATTTTTTTGGGTGTTGTGCCGATTACTGGTCAGTCCTGTGCTCTGCTGTGCGTCATAGGGCAAATATGTGCAATTATTTGAAGGCTCATGCAGCGTGCGCTACACTCCATCCTGTTGTGTTACTGTTTGGAATTAGGCTTGTGCATATAATTGAATCAAGTTGATTTGAGTCCTCAAAAGGTATACAGTTTAAGTCGAAAGTTTACATACACCTTAGCCAAATACATTTAAACTCAGTTTTTCACAATTCCTGACATTTAATTCTAGTAATACTCATACAGTGAATTATAAGTGAAATAATCTGTCTGTAAACAATTGTTGAAAAAATTACTTGTGTCATGCACAAAGTAGATGTCCTAACCGACTTGCCAAAACTATAGTTTGTTAACAAGAAATTTGAGTGGTTGAAAAACGAGTTTTAATGACTCCAACCTAAGTGTATGTAAACTTCCGACTTCAACTGTATATGTTGAAAGGATGTTTATCCTGCATTGATTAACTATTAACCATGCTTAAGACATGGTTGTTGAGAATGTTGTATTATGGTGTTTGGCCAGTTTGTATCTTTTTTACTGAGTGTAATTAGATTTGTCTGCCTAGACTGTGGGCCACATTGGTATGCTCCGAGGTGTGGCCATGGGGGAGATCCTATATTTACCTGTGTGTAATTGTTGCTCATCTTTGCCAGTGTGTGAATGGGAGTCTGGTAGACCCACCTGTGTCTTTTGGCAGGGATAGCTGCATAGGTTTGATATCCTTTCAGTGTTTTGTTTGTTTTGTCAGTCACCCTATGCTTTGACTTCTTTCCCCCCTCTCTCTCCAGATAAAATCTTCGACTTGTGACTGCAGGCCGCCCAACAACCTGCCGCTTGAACCCATCCCCCCTCCTCCCTTCTCCAGACCATCTCCGGTTACCTTCTCCCTACCTCACCTCGCTGATCAACTCCTCCTTGACGCGCTGGGCCAGTCCCTTCCGTCTTCAAGAGAGCGAGAGTGCTCCCCTTCTCAAAAAACCACACTCGACCCCACTGATGTCAACAACTACAACCAGTATCCCTTCTTTCTTTTCTTCCAAAACTATTGAGCGTGCCGTCTTTAGCCAACTCTCTTGCTATCTCTCTCAGAAGACCTTCTTGATCCAAACCCAATCAGGTTTTCAGGACTGTCCATTCAACTGATACTGCTCTCTCTTTGTACGGAGATCTCCGCACTGCTA